ATGTCCCTACTGGTCATCAGAGGCCCTCCTTTGTGACCCCCCCCAAATGAGGCAAGGGGGAATCAGCGAGGAAAAGGGCCTTCTCTGACACTTTTGGAATTCCCTTCCAAGGGAGCTATGGCTGGCACCCGCTTTATTTTGCTTTCGGCGCCAAGTCAGGACTATTTCATTTAGTATTTGTTTTTAGATTGGACTGTTGGTTTGCAGCTAGTTTATTGTTTTATTGGTTGTTGTTCTTGGTACCCTAACCTAGCAGCCTTCCAGGAAAGGGGCAGCGGCCTGAGCTTACCCCTTGCAGGGGGCTTTCTGAAATTGGACAAGGGCTACAGGTTGCCCTTTCCTCCGAGAGTCTCCCAGCAAGTTTAGGTATGGCACGAGATCGTCGTGGGGAACGTGCTATCTCAGGCGGGAGACAGAAAGAAGACCTGGCATTGTGTTGGGGACTGGAGTAGATAGCCTTCAACGCCTTTCCCGATGCTCTGATTCCACGAGAGAAAGCTCTAAGGATGGGGGAAAGGGGCTAATTCGAACAGACGGGACTTCCCGCAGCATTTAATCGGTTTGGAAATCAGGCAAATGTGGTCGGTCTGCCTTTCATCCATCCACCTATACCTCCATCTGGGAACGGCTGTTTCTGCAACAGACATCCTCTATTTCCTGACTTAGCGACTGATGAGCTAAGAGCTGTACGTATCAATTCTTCCTCCAAATAATAGGCTACTGTCTCATTTGCTTATTTTTAAATCAAAAAAGGCTGATTTTAAGCAGAGAGGAGACCGATGGCACGCTCATAAAGGAACCCGTGGGAAGGGCTGGGGGTGTGCCTGAAGGATTTGTACGTCCCCTTTCAACTTCATGGACCCTGTCGACGATCTGGCAGTGGCCGCTCTTGATCAAAGGAAGCTCACAGCCAGGTATCAATAGGCGAACTGAAGAACCGTAGTTCATCAGGGAATTCAGCTCTGTTCCCTGTGGTTTGAAGGAGGGTGAGAGTTTTGTTGCGCTACGTGGAATGATCACCCCACTGTGGCAACCGCGCCCGGGAAGCGAACCGTCGCTTCCTCTGTGCCTGTTGCGTTTCGGTCGCCTCCCTGGTCGTGCGTGTCTCCATCGGCCACCTGGAGGCTCCGTTTTCTCACACCTGAAGTGGGCAGTATCCCTGCTTTGCGGGGCCACGAGCCTCTTTGTTGCTTTGGGTCCTTTGAAGTGGTGGTGTTTGCAATGCGCTGCAGTTATAGATTTATCAGCAGTGGTGGCTGTCTTTTTATTTGATGAAGCCACGAGGTGGCACAGAAATGTTTCAAATCAACAAAATGAGGTGGGAAGCATGTGGGAATAAGCCCCCAACAAGAGTTTTTTGTGCTAGTGGCTCATCTGGGCAAAGCTCTCTGTTGCGTGCCAGAAGCAAAAGCGAACAAGCTTGTGCTGTCTTTGTGTTTATACGTTTTCTTAATCATCCTTCTGGACACCAATAAAGACCAAACATTTCAACTCTGTGACCCGTTTTGCATGCAAAGGCAGCAGACTGTGGGTTAATTAACCCATAATTGGCCATGGCACATGTCAAGCACATTCTGCCACCATTTTGAATATTCAGCCTCCAAAGGACAGTTGCTGCACGGCATCTGGACCCGGACAATAATTGTAGGTTAACTACTGCTTAACCCACAATTAACCTACTGTGGCTGGGGTCGGACATCACATAGCAACCTCCAACAGGGCAATCGCAGCTTGAATGTTCCAAGAAGGCTACAGAATGTGCCCGGCATGTACCCAAGCGCATTACAGGTCTATTTGATGCCGTCCATGCAAATGGACCAGAATGCATGACCAATTCTTATCTATCTCCCCACTGGCTAAAAGCAGACTACAGGATTCAGAAAGTAGGAGGTGGTATGTATACACATATCTCATTTCTGCCTCTAGTCATAGAGGTTCGGTAGGGTTTAAAAAATACCTATCCAACCTCTTTGACCAGAGGCAACCATGGAATAAATGAAAAAAATCCTCGGTTAAGCCACCAGTCCCTGTCTCAGAACCCATGATAGCTGTGAGGCGGGATAGCTCTGGGGTCCTTGGGCAGGATAAAAATGCAGAAAGAATTGCAAAACCAGATGAAATAAGCCAGGTTAGAAACAACCAAATTCTGTATTCTCAGGAGCCCTCCCATTCCCCAGATGGTGGGGCTGTGTCTGTAAATCGAACGAACAGCCTACATACAAGGCAGAAATCAAACATGCATTTTGAAGTGCTTTGATTAGCACTTGGGGACAGTTTCTCGCGTTGCCTTTTATGGATTTAATTGCTGTGATCTGCCCAGAGAGCTTTGGCTATTGGGCAATATAGAAATGTGATAAATAAAATACAGAATCGCCCCCTTTCCTGCTTCAGTGAAGGTATACGCACACTTTATCACTGCCTGAACATAATGCTATTTCTGCGTTAAATGTCAGCAAACCTGGCCAGCCGGTGTGAGAAAGAGCACATGTCCACCTGCCTAGAATTACAGAGGCATGGGGGGGGGGGGAGTACCTGGAGGCCATCTCACCCGCCACCCCCACTCCATGCAGAATATGGAGAGCTGGCAAATCGGGCCCAGCCTCTACCTGAAGACCTCCAGGAAACAAAAGCCCACCTTAGTGCCCCTGCCTGGCCATTGCCACACCCGTTTGTGGCATTTCTTCTGGTGCCAGAGCAAAGTCCACCCTCCGGGGAGAGCTAGCTGGGACCTTGTTCGGCTTGGTGGCCACTGGGCCACCAACCTAGGCCAAAGTCACCGATTGCTACAATGTCCCCATTGGACTAATGCAAGCTTCCGGCTTGCTCTAGCAATGCAACCTGAAATCACAACCGGAGCGCAATGGAATGCTTTGGAGAGAAAAAGTCTTTAGCTCCCAGTCTTTGCAGCCAGGGCCTTTTCCCCTTTCTGCACTCCCCCACCCCCCACATTTATTTAAAATATTTCTTGGCTGCCTTTCAGGACAAAAGCCCTCCCAAGGCCCACGGTGGCGTGCGGCAATAAAACACATAAAACCAGCATGATATTAACGGTGATAAAAACACAATATAAACAGCAATAAAAACAACAATAAACATGCGTAAGATTTAGCCTTTAGCTGCATTTTTTCTTAGTTCTTTTAGACGCCTACCCCATGCCCTGAAGCTGGATTTGGGATACTGTCAAAATGTACCCTTCCAACCTACAGTAGTGCCATTTCTTCGGTTACGCGCCACAATAGTTCAAATGTGGCAGGAAAACCGTTCCAAATGGCCGGTGAAGGTTAGACAACCTCTGTTCAGAGAATGTTTCTGCTCATAGGGGGTACACTGATGGATTGAGGGGTCATGCAGAGATTTCAAAAAAAAATCCAAAGCAAGAGAATTTAAAACGGCATTTTTGTTCTTCCAACATGCACCCCGAGAGTGTGAGAGAAACCCCAAGAGCCACAGATGAAATTTGATGGAGGGCTTCTCTGCTTCTCTACACATTTGTTGTGTACACGGGATCCCTCGCTTACGGAAGCCGACGGGTCCTTTACACAAAGTTGTCATCCTCCAGGGCTTCAGCTTGCACTTTTGAGCCATTTCTGCTGCAGGTTTGTCCGTCTGTTTGGTTTTTTTTAAAAGAGAGATGCTCTTGGAAGAGCCTTCTGCAAATTTGCCAGGCCAAACTGCAGCGCCACCTTGTGGCTGCTTCATGTAACATACAGGAACCCAGAGAAAGGCGGGGAAGGAAAACCTTGGGGGAGAAAAACTTGTATAAAGGACACGCAGCAGTTTTTGCAAGGCAGTGGGTTAAGCACCTCCTGTCCTGAGTTTCAAAAAGAAAACTAGCAATGCTAAGCACGCCTTTCTAAAGACATGCTGAATGAACTGTGTGGTTTGATTCTAATTTCGTCTGATTTTTGCACCTTTAAAGACAGTATTGTGTGCAAGTTTCCAAGCCCGTCATTGCAGAGGCAAGGTCTACAAACAGGCAAGAAAAGAAAGTTCAGGACCTGGGGATGGGAACATTTGTGCGATACGAAGTCCCCGGTGCCACCCCTCCCCTGCCCACCCCTCTTCTCTGCTCTCTAAGTGTCAAATTTGCACACTACTGTGCTTGACGCATCCTTGGCGGCTGAATTATCAGGCGGTGTGTGAGAGCAGGGGCCCACGGTCTCCCATGGCAGGTTTCATTAACACACTCCACTCCCTCTCAGGCAGACGAGCGCAGCGGGGAGGGTGCGGCGGAGGAGGGAGAGGCAGACGGGAAGGAACGCAAAGAGCAGACTTTGTGGGAGGGGTGAGGAAGGGGAACGGAACGTGAATGCCACCTTTCCTTTCACTGTGGAAATTAGATGTTTCGCTGAAAGGAACCACCGTTGAGCGGAGAACAGCGTTTCTGCAGAGTCTGGAGAGGGAGGGGGTATGGGAAGGACACCGTAGCAACACTATTTTTCATTGTTTGGGGAGGAACGTTGAAAAATATGCAGCATTACATTTATGCAACCCTTCCTTGGAGCCTTGCAGAGAGCTGTGGGAAAATGTGGGTGGGGGGGAAGGGGGCTGCCCACTGGGAAGGGATTTGGACACCTAAGCATGAAGAGGATGTGATGGAAAACAAAAAAAAGTCACCTATTGAATGTATACCTGCCATGAAGGTGTCAAGGCAGCCTACCCCAGTTGTGTGGGGATGTAAGTCCCATCATCCCCAGCCCAGTGTTGGGGAAGGCCGTGTTAAAGACACGAAGCTATGTTAAGGGCACGTGTTGGACTACTGGTTAGTTGCTTCTTTGGCTTGCGGGTTCTGGCCAGGATCCTCCTATCTGGCATCTTCCTTTGAGCTGGAGGTTGCCAAGAGCTGAATCCACTGCCCGCTGAGTGAAAAGTGAGTGCCTGGCTGGCCACTGATGGGCCTCCGGAAAAACAGATTATGTTGACGCAAAACATTCTCATCTGTTGAGCTTCCCGAAAACTTCCACCAGCCCTGCTGGACTGAGTGGCCAGATGCTACTTACATTTGGCGGGGAGACGGTACCCACAGCTGATTTTGGCTTTGCCGATCTCACAGCCATTCAGGGACCGGCATTCTTCTTTGAGCAAGGGACCTGCGGCACGATGGATGCACCCGTCCACTGCAGGAGAGAATTAAAAAGCGGCTCATCAATGGAACGGTCAGACTGGGACTGAAGGAAAGGTGCAGTGCGACACAGATCCTATATTGGATTTATTCATCCACCTGGCCCACTCTTGTCTTTCTGACTGCCCACGCTCTCCTAAAGCCGTTCACATCACCCGCGACCTGATCCGCTGTTAAGTAGTATTATTCAAACGCAGTAAATGAAAATGCCTCAGGAATCACATCCCCACAGCCAATAGTATTGTTTATTTGCAAGAATTATATCCTGCTCTACTCCCAGTAAATACCTGAGTGGAGCAAAAACAGAGTGACAAAAAGAAACGAACAGAGTTAGAATCTTTAAAATCAAATCAGACGAACAGAGCTACTGCTGGCTGCCTAGGGAGACTGGCTTTAAATTAAAATGTTTTCGGTTGGTGCTGGAAATGAAATGACGCTGATGGCTGCTTGATCTCAACAGACAGACTGTTGGGCTGCAGAGGCTTCTGTTCTGGCTGGACTCAAATGGCAGAACAGTCCTTTGGTTTTAGACTGCATTAAAGGCACGATTTTGCACAAGCTGAGGCTGACAGAAGGCCTCCGAGCCCCAGCTTGGCCCAGCATACCAGGAATTCAGGTATCCTGACAGTCACTTGATTGGGTGAGGGATCCATCTGATGGCTGAGGGGCAAAACAGCTGGGAGGTGCGGGCAAGGAGCCGGAGGGCTGTCAAGGGCACCACACGGCTGCAGTGACAGACCCTCAAAAGGGATAAAGGAGTGGTACAACGCTGAAAGCGAAAGGAAGGCGGAAGCGTTAACGTCACTGGCTTTCGAGTAGATAAAACTTTGCTGTTTTTCATCTGGGCCTCTGGATGCTCTGATGCCATCTCAGATCTCTGTGGAAGCCACAGGTGTGCAACACACCACACCCCCAAATTAATTATAGAGGGATAAATGTGTGATGGAGCAGCTATGCAGCATAAAAATGAACAAATGGAGCTTGTTTGTAAGCAAACTGTGTCTATTTTAATGCTCTGCGGCTGCTGTGAAATGCTAAAACACTCAAATTTCACTTGCAAACAAACCAGATTTAACCCCTTTAGTGCTTCCAAACACTCCCGACCAATTTGCTGGTGGATTTCATTGGCAAACTAGGAATTAAAAGGGAAAAGGAGTTCTTTTCTTTTTTCACGCGGTGGGGACCCTAGAACTCCCTGCAAGTATAGTCTGCAGGCCTCCTTCAGTTGCCACCGATTCAGATGAACCTGTGGTTGCTCCATCCACCAAACTAGAAATGACGCCTGCCTCCAACCGCATGTCGCAATCAGGACAGAGAAGGAGGCAAGCACCTTCAGGGTGCAGCTCCCCCTAACCCTTTTAGAACCTGGATGCAATGCTTCTGTGGGTCTTTAAGGGGACCAAACGAGCTGGTGTGGTATAAATGTGATATAATAATAGCAATACCACACCAGCGTGGAGGGCTTGATGTACCTCGGGGGAAGATCAAGCCACACGAGAGACGCCTGTGAGAGGAGAGGGCCCACGCTGACGATGGCAGGAACAGGGGGTTGGAGAGACAGTCCGGGAAGTTGCAGGCCGATGTGGGTGCGCAGGACCAAGAAGGGCGTGGGCCAGAGAGGCTGTTCCACCCCACAGGGCCATCAGTGGCTACAGATGGAGCGGAGACGGGGCACTTGTCCTGGGCCTGCAGAAGAGGTGTGATTTGCTGTCCACTCTCGAGTCCATTAGGGGAGCGGCATTGATCAGCCGGCTCCATTATTAGCTCGTTTTCAGTCCATCTCCCGATCCATAAAACAATATTTTATCCGCCCGGCTCTACGGGAGTCGATACAAACCACGGAAGCAAGGGCCATTCTTTGTCCATGCACAGCTGGCCCGCTGGCCCGGCTCTCTGTGCGAGCGAGCGAGCGAGCGAGCGAGGAGAGGAGAGGAGACCGAAATGCTCCCATCGACTGCCATAAGCAGACAGGGATGTGTCCAGATGATGGACCTAGTGGGGAGGATGTACATCCGAGCGCACAGAGAGGGCAGTGGCAGCTACGGCACGACCTTGGGGCCGGCACGGGGGGCTCTATGGCCCTGCAGCCCCCCAGGTGAGCCCCCCCTCCCCCGAGAGAGCCAGGTGCTGTAAGCAGGAGAAGCAAGCTCCATTTTATCGCTGTCCCAACAAGGGTGCCAGGACTTCTGGAAGTTTAGCCTGCAAAACTGCAATAGGGTTTTTTAAAAAGATCAAGTTTGGCAAACACTTTGGCTGTTTGTTGTCATCCTTACATGTCAGGAATGTGGAAGGCATGACCTGTGGCTGCAGAGGGAGATGAGAGCTTTCCTTCTGAAGTGGCATGTGGCCATTCCAAGACCCGAAAGACCATCACAGCCAGGGTCTAAGGCGACTGCGTGGCACCCCGGGCTGCACAGCGCCTGCTTTCCAACAGCATCCGTGGCGAGCACAGAGACCTGGGCAGAGACGAAGTCTCCCTCGTGATCAACCTTAAATTTGATCCAGGGCCATTCGGGGCTCGGGGCTCCAGACCCCATGTGCCGTCCGACACCTGGCTTGGCGCTGCTGGTCCTACTTAGAGCAGATTCACTGAAATTAATGGGACTTAAGTCAGACTAACGCCGGATGCAGCCCTACGTGCCTGTTTAAAATGATCTGCAGCAGATGTTGCCCCGTGGGGCCAGGCAGTAGCCCTCTCCTTCTGGGCCACGGTGCAAGCATAAATCTCTCCCCACACCAATCCTTCCTTGGCACCTTGCTCACAAAAGCTTCCCTTCCGTGCCAAATATTCCCGGTGGGGGGATTTCTGTCAGGAAGCCAATGCGAAAAGTGCTGAGCTGCCCTTCTCTGTGCATTGCGGTCCTAAACGCCCCCCCCCCCCCCATGCATACACACAACCTGCTGCTCGTTCCAGTTTCAAACGAGAGCCACACACATGATGTGCCGGATTACTCTGGTGCTTTGCCCATGCGCCGTGTTGGCATCTGCTCCAGAAATTCGTCCTCTCCCCCCATCGCTGCCCAACACCTCTGGGCTGCAGTATTTAGTTGATTTGTTGGCTGGATGGATCGATTTAAAAAACTTGTTGATCAACTGAAAAGACACCCCAGTTGCTTGGAAAACATTTTTTTTTTGAACAGTCAATTAGTTTAAAAACCTTCCCATTTCGAAGTGCTCCTGCCTTCCCCGTTCTCTCGCCCTTGTGCAAGGAATGCCCCGACACAGAGGGAGCGGTGCGTTCTCGAAAAGCAAGCCCTGCCCGCCGCTGTTAATGGGGCCTCGCTGGTGATGGCCGAAGGGCGCTTTGGCAGCTTTTGTGTCAACCCAGGGTGGAAGCTTCCTCTCCCTGCCCCTCAGAAAAACGCTCAGCTCCTGCATTGCTCCTGCATTGCTCCCCCTGGCCTGGCTTCAGCCCCTGAATCAGCTGTTTTTCCACCCCGGCACCCATCTTGTTAATGCAAACAAGCTTTGCCGTCACGCACGGTTCCTCGGCCCCTTCTGTGTGCCAAGGGCTCCCACCCAGAGATGCTGCGAGACGGAGAGCCAAAGTGACACCTTTCGAGGAGAAAGGGCAGAGGACTGGGACAGGTGGCGTGGGGTGGAAGGAAAAGAACCCCCCCCACCCGACCATCTGCAAAGTCTTCCTGTCTTCCTGGAGGGGGCAAACCTTTCACATCCAAGCCCCCATGGAGCCCCCAGGAGGCCCCGGGGCTATTAATTGTCATTACAAGGGCTGTGGTCTGATTACAGAAATCCTCGCTGATTACCTGTATTTAAGTTGATTAAATCTGCATAAATTTGCATACCACGCAAAATAAAAAAGCAGCCTTGTTTCTGGAAGCAAAAGACTTAACTTTGCATTCCTGAGGGTGAACAGACATCATTTCAGAAGAGGTCTTCCCTCTTGCTCTGCAAGGGAAGGCCTCTTTTGCGGTGGCCAAGGGAAATTTGCCTGAATCCCACCCTCAGTGACATTTTTTAAAATTTTATTTTGGCCCCTTTAAAAGCAACAGCAACACAAAACCACGTGCTACCGCCACATGTGATAAGCACAGTAGGAAAAAGTAACAGAAAGATGGTTGAAAGCCACCACTTTGCGATTTATTAGGACGTTTCTGCAAACTGTAAGGTAATGCATCCGACTGGTTCAGCTCAGGAGGGACGCCAAGGCTTTGCGTCTCAGAGCGCCATCCCTCTGAGAGTGAAGCAGGGACCCGGGTGGTCTTCACAGGGGAAGACACATAAGCACCTTCCCACCCTATAATACAGCGATCGGACCCTAAGCTGCAACGCAAACCCTCAAATACTCTCCCCAAAGGTTTTGTGGTGGATGGGGTGAGCAATGCTGCCATTAAGAGGATGACTCAGGGGTGCCACTGCTTAAAAGCCAAGGCAAAAACTTTTGTGTACAAATGGGAGGCTTGGGAGAACTCCAAGTTCTGCAGAAATACGAAACTTTTCTAGGGGGGAAATACCGGAGTGGGACAACCACAAAACAATGTAATGAGGACATAACTTGCAGAAGAAACTAAATGCTGACTGCTGGTGGGGAAGAACTAGAAAATGGATAGCAGGGAATGGAATGGAATGGAGTACTCTTGAAGAGGATGTGACTGGCCGGCCGGCCAGAACCCTCGCTGAAGTACCTCACTCTCCAGCACTTGTTATTTTCTATTATTTAAAAGTATTTTCATACCACACAAGGTGGTTAATTGGCATGTTAATCAGGTGTATCCATGTTTGGTTTTGTTGCAGAGTTGCGATCAGAAATCCTGCTTTTGCACTGTATGACCTCTAGGCGGCACTGTGGTATAATAGAATTGCACAAATACAGAAGAGGAACTCTCGCTTTCACAATTAAATGCTATCATTTTTCTGGCCCTAAAAAGAATTGCAGAGTGTCAGACACAAACGCAAAACTGGAAGGTCATGATGTCATCTAAGGAATGTATAAATAACTATGAGTAGAGAGTGCCAGGGTACAGTAAATGCTTT